TACTAAGAACCAAAGAGATGTTCTTTTCACAGCTGAATAATGGAGCGTTTATGCTCTCCATGGAGCAGATGGAAAATTGATCTGTCACATCCCTGCTGTCTGGCCTATGAGAAATGCACTAGTGTTTGGTGCCTGGTAAGTGTTGCTATTATGACAAATCAGAATTACATGTCAGACACAGAGATCAATGCAATCTCTCTGCTTGCAGACAATACACTTAAAGTCTCACTTGTTTCTACCCTGTAGAAACAAATGGACAAGTTCCTCACTCAGAAAACCCCAGACAGCTCCAGTTTGCTGTTTCCTGCCAGAGGACTATTTCTTCTCATGCTCAGGGTGCTCACTTTTGCTCATCCCATCCCTTCATGAACTCCCAGGAAAACCATGGCCAGACTCTGCCCAGCAGGGGCTGGATGGATTGCTCGTTCCCCTTGCTCTTGGGCAGCATGGGGAATACCCTGAGCTATAAACACACTGGCTCAAAGCCTATTGCGGGCAACCACAGGCTGGTTAACTAACACCACTTCCATCAAAGCCTCTTTGGCCGACATTGCTCCTGCCTGAGTGCTTCATGGTTGGTTGCTGCCCAGCCACCAGCACCACATCCTTTCCTATCAGCTTTAGAGCCAGCAAAACTGGATCAAGTAGGCACAGGGTCATGGTTTCACCATCAGGTACCATGGTCCTGCAGGCTATATGCCCTCACCAGCAGGGTGGCAGGAGAGGGGTTACTGCAATGCCCCCAAAGGGAGTCCCCAAATGCCAGCACGTCCTGTTGATAATGTGTAACTCACAATGACAGTTTGGTTCGCTCTTATCCCTTCTGTCCAGAAGTGTGGTTTGGGATGGAAGGAAAGGTAGCAAAAGCAGAGTGTGAAGGCCAGGGTGTTATTTCCCCCCCCACAAAATACCTCCAGAAGAGAGGAACCTACAGTGAAACTGTGATAAAGGGCCCCGGGCATGTGCTGGCAGCTCTTCGGAAAGAAGAAGCTGGAGAGGGAGAGAAGAAGAAGAAGACACCATAACCTCTTCCTCATTGCAAAGACAGACTTGGCTGCTAATTTTACCACCAGGGCAACTCTGGATGAGGAGAAGGGCTGCTGCTTCAGCAGCTGCTGTGGCAGTGCTTCCAAAGAATATCATCCTTTGCATGGCAAGTGTCACACACATTAATTCTCTGTGTCTACACAGATAACATAACCTGGTCCTGCCTTGGCTGTAGTGGTACCTAGTATGCATATTTGATCTCCTATAGGTATTTCAGGAGCGGGGGCCAGGCTCTTAGTTTGAGATGTTTCTGCTTCCCTAGACTGAGGTTATCAAAGGGCTCAGGACTGAGGGCAGAGATCAGAGATCAGGGGGGAACTGGAGCTCAGCAAGGAGCTGAGTGCACCGTGTGTATTGGGAACCTGCCTTGGGAAACCCCTGGAGCACAAGTGGAAGCACTAGTCCCCAAAAAATGACACCAACTCAAGAGCAGGTTTTGCTTTAAAAGTACAGTAAGAGTTTTCTTGAGGAGCTGTGCTTCTTGGGGCTCTGCAAAACTGAATGGGGCAAAGAAAGTCCTGCTGACTTTTCACTTTACCCATGTACTGAAAGAGTCTGTTACCATGTGCAAAACTCCCCTAAGGCAGACAAAAAGTCGTTTCACCCCACACTGTCCATAATACTTCTGTGCTTTGGGCTAAGTCGACATCCTAATCATGACTTCCAGGACTTAGCTGTCCACCTCCTATATGTGACTCCAAGTGTGTGCTCTGAGATTGATACCAGTCATAGTTAGGGAAGGAGAAACATTCTTTAATGTGCTTTAACTTCTTTCAAATAAAAGGCTGTTCCATCAACCTGTTTGAAAAACTAAACCCCCTTCCTGCCAAAAAGAATCCCCATTTGGGGTTTTTCTTGCTAGCCCGAATTGGAACAGGAGATTGGTTGAGGAAGCAGCTACCAGGTAAATTCCAGGTTAGGGGAACAGAAACTTGGTTTTTGACCTTTGCTGCCTCCGTGCAACCTAAAGTGCAAATCAGACTCTGAGAAACCTGGAGAACAACCTGTGCTGCCCAGAGGAGCAACAGGAGTCTGAACACAGATGCTTTCAAGGTAGGTGCCATCAGTGCACGCCTCATGGTAGGGGGCTTGTCCATGCTAGATTCACTTCGTCCTTTCCAGTGAAGATGTGGTTAACCTCGGTTTGCCTGTGTAATTGACAGGAACCTTCCCAAAGCGAGCTCAGCTCCCACTGCAAGGGGATGAGGCTGGTGTAATACCCACTGAGGGTGATGCGGGTTCTGCCAGTGCCAACTTCTCCCTCCACTGACTGTAAAAGGAGCAGACAACTCTTCCCAGCCACTCTGTCCAATGCTCAGCATAAGGAAGAAAGGAGCTGACAAACATCGTGGACCGCCAGCTGACAGAGGAAGTCTAACTGAAAACCAGGAGTGAACTGGAGGCCCCTAATGATAACACTTCCCCATTTCTCTGTTAAAATCCCTTTTTTTTCCATGATCCAAGGCAAAGAACAACACTGCTAGAAAAAGACAGCTTCTGGAAAAGCTGTGGTTTCTGGCCGCGAATGCAATGAATGCTGAATGCCTTGCTGAGTGCTCTTCACAAGGACAGGGATGACTTTGAACTGTAGGATGTGCTTTTCTTCCGTTCCTATTTGTCCTGACAACAGAAATTGAGGTAATTCCCACCTTCCAGTCACCTTCTGCTCTCATTTGTATCATCATATATATAATGACAACACCTGTATGATTTGTACTTCATGTGTTACCGTAGCATCTTCGCCTGTTGATTCAATCCGATCAGGTTTTTGCCTCCTTTGCACGTTTCTTTGCTGAAAAATCCATGTACAGGAGTTCCTGTTTACAGAGCAGAAAAAGGTCAAATACAATAAAGAAAATATACAGGTTTAATCCCAGCAGTGCTTTACTGAATCTCAAGCAAGAAGGGAAAGATCCAGGTGCTTCAGTTTCCCACAAGGCTCCTTTATTAATCAGTGACCTGATGGAGGGCTTGTACAAACACAACATCAAAGCACATACTTAGTCCTGCTCCACCCAGGAGCAGGAGGCCCCAGGTGACATGGAAACAATGAGCCATCTCTGGGGGCAGGTGAGATCCTCCATCGAGATGCTATGGAGGAGTCATACCTTCAGCCTAAAATGAAAGGGGACATGATGGTGATCAAGACCTCAATCTAACCCATAGAGAATCTCAGACTGGTTTAGAATTGGAAAGGATCCAGTTCCAATCCCCTGCCACAGGCAGGGATGCCTAGCACTAGACCACATCTCCCAAGGCTCTGTCCAACCTGAACACTGCCAGGGATGGGGCAGCCACAGCTTCTCTGGGCACCCTGTGCCAGCGCCTCAGCACCCTCACAGGGAAGAACTTCTGCCTTAGATCTAACCTGAACTTCCCCTCTTTCAGTTTGAACCCATCACCCCTTGTCCTATCGCTGCAGCCCCTGAAGAAGAGTCCCTCTCTTAATCTCTATTAATCCACAGATATTAATCTCTATTAATCCATATATATCAATCCATATATCTCTGAAATACCATCTGTACCGCCAGTAAAACCAGAGGATGACTTCCTCGGCAGGTACTTGTCCTGCAAGCCTGAAGATGGCAGCATGGGACAGACTGAGGGCCACAAGCACCGTTTCCAGTTAGAGCTGCGACCGGTGACAAACGTGCCAGGGCCACTTGCTGTCACAGTGCTGAATCCCACACACACCTCACCTCCAAAACTGGATGACCACATCCCAGTGGATAGACGGTCCCTGGATTGTGCTGCCTGTGCGATGCTCTGGCTGACCTGAAGCACCTACCCCCACGGATGGCATTCAACGCTGGCAGCCAGCAGTGCTCCCTGGCAGCTTTCCTGCTGTAGACAACCCTCCCTTCATCCAAAGGTCTTCCAAAGGCAGTGTGTCTTTTCCTGGCTGTAGCAGGCAGGTTCTGCCTTCCCTGATCCAAAAAGGAAAACATCACCAGCACAATTTTGCCCTGAGTCTGGGAGATTCTTTCTTGCAACTGTACTGCCAAAGAAATCAGCGGCAGGTCCCTCACTGGCTTCAGTCAAATCAGTATCCAAACAGGGTGCTGTAGGTAAGCCTTCATCCAGGCTGTTACTTTAGACTTTGAACCACTGGCTGGAGCCATTATGCACTTTTCTATACCTATTTTTAGCTGACTTTCATGAAGAAATGCGGGTACTGTGACCATGTAACGTTTAGCTGATTGTATGTCATCTTCCAAGTCCCAGTAACTTTTAATACTGTTGGCAAGTTTCAAACCACCATCCAGTTGGGATTAAACTCCTGACTACAGACAGCTAGACAAGCAGAGGGCAGAACCCCACAGAAGAGGGCTGTGATGTGAGCTCTGCTCTTGCTGCACTCCTGAGAATCAATGCACCCTCGACCTTCACATTGTAGAAGCTCAATAACTAACAGTTGTCACCAACCATATTCATAGAATCCCAGACTGAAAGGACCTTAAAGCTCATCCAGTTCCAACCCCTTGCCATGGGCAGGGACACCTCACACTAGAGCAGGTTGCTCTAAGCCTCTGTGTCCAACCTGGCCTTGAACACTGCCAGGGATGGGGCAGCCCCAGCTTCTCTGGGCACCCTGTGCCAGCGCCTCAGCACCCTCACAGGGAAGAGCTTCTGCCTTAGATCTAACCTGAACTTCCCCTGTTTCAGTCTGAACCCATCACCCCTTGACCTATCGCTACAGTCCCTGATGAAGAGTCCCTCTCCAGCATCCCTGTTTGTTTTGTATTGATTTAGAAGCATCTTAGTTTCTGACTTCTTAAGTATTTAAGATCTCAACATTGCTTTGAGGGTAAATCTTCAGTACCCATCAATTCATTCTCTAGCCATAAGCAATGACTTCTTTCCCTCCCAAACCCAGGACAAACAAGGTAGTTTCACTGCTTCTTTTTGTCTCTTAAAACAGAAGGCTCCACAGCCGGAGTTTAGTTATTGGGTTGATTGTCGTAAGGATTTTGGGTTGATTGTTGCAGCTCTTCAAACTAGCTGCTGGAGAACAGTTCAAGAGTTGCAGAGGCAAATGGATGAATACTATTATACACCCAATTCAGGCGATAATTACTCCTATGAAGATGTTTTTAATGAAAGCAATGTCTGTGAAATGGGCAACTATTTTGTATTTTACACCCATCTCTCTACTGTCCTCTACACTCTGGCATTTATGCTCAGCCTGCTTGGAAACAGCCTCGTGTTATGGATCCTATTCAAATACGAAAACCTCACATCTTTAACGAACATCTTCATCATTAATCTCTCTGTCTCTGATTTAGCCTTCTCCTGCATGCTGCCTTTCTGGGCAGTGGACCAGTCCTTTGGGTGGATTTTCGGTGAGTTCCTCTGCAAGGCAGCAAATGCTGTTTTCTCCATTGGCTACTACAGCGGTGTTTTCTTTCTGACACTCATGACGATCCTGCGGTACTTGGCCGTAGCGAACCCACTTTCAACCTTGAGATCCCAGACGCAGTGCTGTGGGCTTCTGGTGAGCTTGGCTGTTTGGACTGGTAGTACATTAATCGTGGTTCCTGAGGTTATCCACACCACAGTGCAAGGAAACCTGGGGGACAAGATCTGTGATTATGATGATTGGAAATGGAAGAAGGTGGACATTTATCAAAGAAATATACTCTTCCTGCTTTCCCTTGGGGCTATTGTATTCTGTTACATCAAGATACTGATAATCCTGCTCAGATCAAGATCTCGCAGAAAGCACAGAACTGTGAAACTCATCCTCACCATTGTGTTGGCTTTTTTCCTGAGCTGGGCACCTTACAACATCCTCAGCTTTCTGACTACTTTTCCATCACCTACCTGTCAGTATGAAAAAGACTCCAACCTTGCCTTTTACATCAGCCGTAAAATCGCTTTCTTCCACTGCTGCCTCAACCCTGTGCTCTATGTCTTTGTTGGAGCCAAGTTCAAGAGGCATTTGTTCCGTTTATGCAGTCAGTATTCACCCTGTGGCCACAAACAAGTCTCCAGCCCCAGGGTCTTCTCCCAAGGCAAATTCCACTATGAAGATGTGTCCATCTACTGAAGCAAGACCTCACTCGTAACACTTACCCTGGATGAGCTTTCTGATTCTAAAAGCCATGGATAACCTCTAATTCTTAGAGGCACTTCCCTGAGAAAGACACATAAATTTACTCTTTGCAAACATGCCGTGTATGGAAAGTCACAACAAAATGTACTTGTGGTGGGATGGGGAACTGAGGATGCTGAGAAATCACTTCATTGACCTGTAAGTCTTATCTTTATGTTTTGTGCAGTGAGATGGGTTTTCTCCCATGTTTAGTTTCTTTTTAAAAGCAATATATTTTAAAAGAAATATATTCACCTTTTCTTTGGGAGCTAAAACATTGGGTTTTAATATAAGCAGTGCTGCATGTTGCTTTGTCACCTGACTTAGAATACATGGGCTGTATATAGCAATGGACACATGTATTTCTGTAGCCTTTATAGGATTTGCAGTGTTTACCAGTGCTGAACTCATTGGTTATCTCTTTTGGGGACTCTCAGGATTAACTGGCCTGACAACAGCGATAAGAACTCTAAGTCTTTGAAGTTCTCAGCACAAATGTTCTTTTATCTCTTGGTATATATATGTATATATATATAAGTAGATTAGTGTAAAAGTAGTCTTTCAGATCTAAAATGGGAAGTTTGGGAGAGCTCTAGAAGGAACACAAGCTCTTAAGCAGATACTTCACTAGGATAGTAGTTTTCCTCCTGTTACTTCAGGCACCTTCCAGCCTCTGAATATCCCTTCAGGAGGCTGCAGAGGATCAGCAGCCCATCCCCACAGCAGCACAGGAGCATATTTGCCTCCAAATGCTCTCTCCCTTTCTCCTTTTGCCATGGAGCTGAGAAGACTTAAACTTTCTAAGAAGCTTATAGCACAAGTCAGTCCTGGTATTCCATTACTACAAATATTGCCTAAAACTTAAAAAAAATTGAACAGGTTACTCATTAATCCCAAAGTGTTCAGACAAATGGAAAGGCAGAGGTTGCCATGTGTCTTGTGGTGAAGACCAGCCTTTGGCTCTCGTCACCTGATAAGAGACATTTGAAATGGATGTGGTTGTTTCTGTGCACTTCAAGAGACTTTGGACTAGAGACTCAATACCACCAATTATGAAGAGACAACCTACTGAAGGACTAATGAGTCCAAATTCTTCTTCTGCTAAGCCAGGACCCCCTCATGGGCACCAGCAAAGCTCTGCAAGAGGAAAATGCTATGATGAGGAGTGAAAGGTCTTATGCACCTACATCATTTCAACAAACTGTCCTTCAACTCCTGGCACTAGAGCTATACCACCCTGAAATCAATACATTTTACATGTCTCTAAAAACACCAGTCAAGAATTAACAGGAGCAATAAAATGAGAGATTGAAATATCTGCTCTGTGCAGGCTTGAACAGGTTATTTAGTTGTCTGTAGCTTGAGCATGTTTTGTTACAGTATGTCTGAGTGTGTAAAGGGAATACTTAATACTGCTCACTTGTACTGCTACCTACCATAACCAAAGTAACTCAGAATCTGGAGATTTCCCCTCCTGATCTAATAAAGTTGTACTAATAAACATTCAGGAATTCACTGTGACTATGGTTCTCTGCCTTTGATAACCACCTATTAAAGTTAAGGTATTTGAAGAAGTAATTGTGACTTTTCATAGGTTCATTTATCTTGGAAGAGTCCTCGAAGCTAAGGTGGAGGAGGATGCTCCCAGTTAGACAAGGCTGCCTGGGGCCTTGTCTGGTCAAACTCTGACAACCCCCAAGACCAAGGACTGCATAACTCCTCTGTGTCTCTGTTCCAACGCTTAACAACTCTCATGGTGGAATTTTTTCCTTCTACATGAACAAAATCTCCTTTGCTGCAACCTGGTGATGTTGTCTTTTCCTTGCCTTCTCTATGTCCTTGCTGGCTGCTCCCAAACATTTTTGTCCTGCTTCTGGCTGGTAATGGCTTCCAGGAGGATTTGCTCCACCATCCTCCAAGGGCACAGGAATGAGACTGACCAGTTTCCAGGATTGCCCTTCTTGCCTTTTCTGAAAATGAGCATGAGTTTTGCCTTTTTCAAATCACCATGGACTTCCCCTCGTCACCATGGCCTTTAGAGGCAATAGATAGCATGCTGCAGTGGTACTGGGCAATGCCCTCAGAAACTATCACATGCATCCTGTCCAGTGCAGACAACTATATATCCAGTCTACTTAAGTTGTTCCGAAGCCATTCTCCCCTGTGTGGGCTGTATCCCTCTCTCCAAACTCTGCTACTAGGCACAGAAACCTGTAAGGCACTTGCAGCTACAGCCATCAGCAACAAGAAACACATTGGTGTGACTTCCACCTTTGTTTACACATATATGTTATTAAATATCTATATTGCTAAAGCCATAGGATGTGTCCCATGCAGATCTAGGGATGGGCAGCCTTTGCATCTCTTTCTCTCCAGGACCCCCAGATGCTTGGAAAATACAGACTGCTCCAGATAAAACATAATGCTCAGGAGACCTTGAATCTTTAATTTCACTCCATCAATCAAATATTATGTGGTCTGAGCAAATGCAGAACTGAGAGAAAGAAGCCTGTGAAGTGAAAAAGGAGAAATCAATTGGGTTTGGAAACCACAGTCTATCTGGGGGCTGGGAGTGGTGTCAGACTGAGTGGTCGGAGTACTACAACTGTTGTACAGTGCCAGGGTGGCACCTCTAACCCTAGTTGCAAGTTCCAGTTAAATGCACATGCTCTCGCTGCTCTGATTAAGTCCATACTAAATTCCACCCAGTGGGAATGGGAGGACAACGGCTTCTCTCACAAGCAGTTTAGCTGGATTGAGCCCTTCTCCCTAGCTCTCTTTACAGCTGGTCAACACAAAGCTGAGCATCACTGCCACAGCCTGTCAGAGCTCCAACCTTCCGTGCAGCCATGGGAGCTTGTACCAGTAGGGAAGATTCTCACTGGTAAGGGTCAAGGCACCAAATTCACCCTTTCCACTGCTAATGCAAACTGACTTACATAAAATAAGCAAACTTAAAATCCACACATTTCAGAAAGCATGCTGTTCGTACTAAAATAAATGATAACTTTGCTTCTGATCATAATCAGAGCAACAGTCAGACTCGTAAGTGGGTGCAATGAATTGGGCAAAGCACAGCATGCACCGCTTATTGCCAGAAGGATTGTCACTGGGAGTCAGGATATCTCCATCTGTAACTCAGTAGTTTGAAAATACCACCAGTGTTATTAAAATCGTAAATAAAATTCTATTGTATCTTCTCCTTATGGTTACTACTCAGCAGTTTCAAATGCTCTTGCTCATCCAGTGTTTAAATAGGAAGGGCTTGTGTTAAACGGAGAGTTTTACTGATAAATGAAGGGAAGTTAAAAGAACATACATGTATCTTCAGTTTTACATCAAAAGAACGGTGTAATATGGCAGATCCTGACTGGAGTGAAGCAAAGAACTGAGAATGGCAAAGGGAAGTGCAGGGAGTGGAGTACTCTCTCCATAGACAGGAACGGCTGATACCAAATTTAAGATAACTCTGTTTCTTTCATTCTTCTAAATAATGCTGCCTTCTGAGGTCAAGTTCTCTTTCTTGGTGGTGAAAACCTTCCAGCCCTCTGAACCAGCTCTTAACTTCCTAAACCTCAGTATTCTCTTTATACATATGCCATACATCTCAGTGTATATAAAAGACAGCTCATTTAAACTGCACGGTCCAGAGTCTGTGCCCTGGTTCTCCCATATCATTGCTGCTCCAGTTGAACCAGCATCAAACCAGCTCTACCTGCTTTGTCCACACAAGAGTGAAATTCAGCCAGTTCTGAGCAGTGGTAGCTCCTAAACCTGCTGTGCCCTGGTGGAAGTCAGTCTCAGAAGCTGACAGCTTCCAAAAATCAAAAACCTTGACCCTCTTGTTGCTAAGAAATGAGAAGATGTAAGGAATTCTAAGTAAGTTTTGGTCAGGTACGGGCATAACTGGAAACAGAACGTTCTTCTCAGAAGAAATTGTCTGTATAAACAGGCAAGAATACAATAATTAATGTCAATTATTAAATATTTCAGACAGTAGCTTGTCACTACATGATTAAAAAGAGGAACACTCTATTGTACTTGATTAATGTTGAGTGAGAAGTAAAACTGCACATAGACTTTATGCAAAGTTGCAAAAAAAAAGGCCATTGCAGTGAGATGATGTGGGGTTTCATTTATCATTATTTGCAACTGATGACCCTGAGGTTACTTTAGGAAGACACCCAGTTGTCTGCTGATCACTGGTAGACATTTGTTTTCATCAGATGCTCTTGGTCGTGTAGTCCATGATGCCGTAAAGAACACAAACAGAAGTCAGCCTGAAGGTTGCTTCTGAACTATGCGAGACATCCCATCATGCTTCACAAGTCATGTACTCACAACAACCTCAGCCCTATTGATACACGGATAGACTCCACAGCGCGTTAAAGTTGTAAAGTAGGTATGTTTTATTCAGCGCTGAGGCGCATGGGGGATCGCTCCTCCAAAGGCATGCGCACCTTTCCTTTGTTATTCAGTTTGCTTATATTACATATAATGATTATATAAACACGATTGTTTCACACCTAATATATATGCAAAATCTATTCCCGTCTAGTATTATAATTAGATTTTCTGGTATCGTCCCATTGATGCGCTTGCACAGTGCCTCCTGGTGGTGGTTGTTACGGGGTCGTGAGGATGAAGGCCTGCAGTTCCTCTTCATCACCGTGAGTAACCTCTTGTTTTCACGCAGACTCAATGGGGTTTTGGCTCCCATCCAAACTTCAGGTTTGGTACAAGCAGGTTTTATGTATCTTAAAGCAAAAACTTGTCAAGTTTGTAAATTTTGTTACTCTGGCTATCTTTTGTTCCTTTTCTTTCTAAAGATACTATTTGAACAAGAATGTCTTCAATATTAAGCTATGAATCTTATCTACTACAATTCTGCCTAGCAGCTGTTAACTCCTACAATTCTGCTTCGCCATTCTAGCAACTTTAACTCCTACAGTTCTGCTTCACCAAGCACAATGACTGCTTAAGCAAGCAGGCCCAATGTTAACCCTTTATTCCCAGGTAGCACTATAACCTGCACTTCTGAGGGCATCAGAATGCTTTTGAGCTATGCAAAACCATGGGGAAGATTAATCACCAAAACTTATGGTCCCTTAGTCATCCTGAAGCTGAGGATATAGAAATGAGGATGATGGTGACATGCCAGTGACTACATACTATATGTATTTCCTCAGGAGTGTTGAAAATACGATGCTTTGACCTTATGGCT